GATGTTATCCAGCCATAACAAAATTATTTCCACTGGAGAAGGAAAATTATTAGAAGAGGAAAAAAGAAATTCTTCCTACAGTTATTTTGGGAACATCTCCTTCAGGGCTTGTCTACAACTTCACCAGAGTCTGGTTTTCAGTCATTAGTATGATTGTTTGACTACAGATGCCAAATTTCTTGCAGGAGCACGGAGGCAGAGAGTTATCTACCCCAACCACAAAAGGATCACTAAAACTACTAAAGCTTCCCCCCCTTCTCTTTTTTTGCTTAACCAAAAGGATTAAACTATTTTTCTGCAACCTCTCCTCTTGTGAATGGTCAACATTTTGCATATAAATTATTGCAATAGGGGAACACCATACGAAAACACCCTGAACACTGAGAGACCATTACACCTGTGAAGCTTAGGCAATGCAGAACTTAATCATGTCACAATTACAGGTTACCCAGTTAACATTAATTTGGCTCTTTTACATACACAAAGTAATTACAGAGTATATTTTCCAGCGTAAGCATACCTCCTTTGAAACAAGAGGTAAGCTTGAGATGCCAGTGGTTAAACCTTTGAAAACTATTTTGTTTTGCCAGGTGAGGGGAAAAAAAAAAACAAAACGTCAACACTGAAAGATGAGCACAGCTCCAGTGGGAAAAAGTGGTAAGGAGTGCCTAATTCCCTCCTGAGTCCTCAAAGAGCAAATCGGCTCCTCCCAAATGCGGGAGAAGACTCTAAGTAATAATAATGACAATTTCAGTCAACGAAAACAATATTACTACAGTGTATGGGAGCCCTGATCGCAGACTAGGGCAAATTATTACATTCCCTGTCATCACCTAGTGTTTGCTTAAATTTACTGCTTAATATTGCTGGATTGGCAGCCTACTTAAATTATTCAGCACTTTTCTAATGCACTACCTCTTTAATTATGCTTTTAAACATAGCTTCTCTTTTCTGCTTGGAAGCAGTTAATCTAGTTTCATGCTCCTCCTTTTCATCTTCAGGCAAAGAAGGCATCACATTAGGATTTTCTCAAACATGAAATGCATTTGTTTTCAGTCAGTCAAATAAAATTAAAAGGCAACGTTTGTCTACTGTTCTTGCTTCTATACGGCGCCTATTTATTCTCTGTATCTGTCAGTGGAACTTAATTGTAAAACTTTTTCAAAGACTCCCTACCAAGGAGCAGAAAGCTCTGACAGTCAAACCTCACATGACAAGAGAAGAAGAGAAAGACATTCTTAAGGAAAATGCAGTCATTTTGTGAAATTTGCTAAGACTAGAAATAAAGAAACCATTTACCTGCAAATAGCCACAGCTGAGAGAAAAGAAAGAATTGAACACACTCCAGTTTGATGAACTGCTCACTAAACTGCGAAGCAATGGAGGTAACTGCGGCAAGCACTGCCCGAGAACTGAAAGTGGTGGATGGAGACAGATAATAAGTTAAAAGTAAAGAGGCACAATCTCATCTTACGCTAACTTGGTTATTGCAGCTTTAAGAGAGAGGTTTGGAAAGTTTTCCACTCCACACTACTCTTGCACACCCCTTCTAAAATTAGAAAGGGGCAGCTGGCTATTGCAGCCGAAAGATCGGCTTGAGCCCCCCAGACTCCCTCCCCCCTTTCCTTGACTGACTTGGCTCCCAAGAGCCACGGAGGAATTTGGGGAAGGGTGCTTCCACCTGTTGGACATGGAATGAGGTTGTCCAGGCATTCAATTATAAATCCAACTGTCAGGAGCTGACAATAAAACACGACACAGGACAGCTGTGAGGACTACAGGATCCCCCTCCCTTCTCCATACTCCTACAACTTCGCAGTTTGTCTTACAGTAGAAACAATCCATGAAAAATTGCTCTCTGCGTGATTTGGGCTTAAAAAAAAAAAAAAACCACAAAGGGATTGCTTCAGATTTGGTCTCATAGTTTTCCAGCTGTGCTACAGGGTCCTAGCATAGAATGTGTCAAGTTGTTCATATATCATTACACACCTCCAAACCCAGATTCTTTTTTCCTAAATGCAGCATGATTGCACTGCAGATGGTGCGTAAAGCTACATTCTGTACGGGAAATACTTTTATGCCTACCTTAACATGGAGCTCACCTTGGCTTCTGCACGCAGTTTGAGCTGAGCTGATTATTAGTTCAAATCAAATACATTGTTCAAAAAAAAAAAAAGATATGAAAACCATGACTATTTTTTTAATTTGTGAAAAATGAGAAAATGCTTTTGTTGGTGTGGAAAAATGGGGGAAAAAATGAGTCCTTTTAACAAAGCTGCTTAGCATGCCTAAAACTCCTCTGCTCAGCGCACCGTGACTCAGAGCAGGGTGTGAGAGACAAGGTAACAACAGACAGGGCTGCACATCATTCTAGGTCCCTTTTACAACAAGGGCTGCTGAAGGCAATGTGGGTTTTGCCTTCCTCCAGGCACTCAAAGGCAACGGCGGGAGCAGGAGAAGAGGGGCCGCACTCCACCTTCCGGCTGGCTACCTGCGAGGGGGCTCTTGCCACAGAGCAGTTTGACCACGTTTTCCAGTCCAATCTGAAAGTGCTGGAAATTTTGTCTGCAAATTGGTATGTAGCTGGTTCAGCTCCCAAAGATCACTTTCTGCCCAAAGCTTGGATGCTGTAAGTCCCCAGAACAAGAAACATTCCCTTCTCAGTCCCAAGGCTAGACCTGGTGTCTTTGCTCTATACAAGCACATTCTTGCTGTCACAGACTATGTAATTTGCTGATCTGCTGACGGTTAGGGACCGTTCATCTTCAGAAGTGAGATTTCTCTAGAAGTCCAAGAATTTTAGTTTGGAAAACATCAAATGGCTATGTTTGCTGCAGGCAATGAAATAATTATACAAGGAGGATAGTAATCAGCTGTCTGTTAGCAACACAGACAGACATTATTCTTCACCTCTGGCTGAGGAGGAGTTACTTAATGAGATCTATACTAAGTACCTGTGGGTATTTAATGAGAGCCTTTAAAGGACAAAGCCACAAACAGCTACAAAAAGGACCTACTACTTCAAGAGTAGGAACACTCTTCTAATCCTGAGCCTTTCCCCTCCTCCAGAAGGGGCTACTGTGTATACCATCTTGCTTTTGATTTATTTTTCCACACTAAGCAGCACACCACGTATTTGGAA